AATCAGTATGATATTGATGATAATAATAACTACACTTGTACAAGATTTTGAACCGAACTTATAAATGATAAAATTATTGGAAAAAGTGAATACCCATTTTAAATTATCACAAGCCGCCACTGAGTAGTAGCAATATTGCTATTTTTTTATTTGGTATGGTTGCCAAAAAAATGTGTATTTAATACAAAAATAATTTTTTAAACGACCAAGAAGTCTACTTTCCAGACATGTTACGTAATATCTATACTATTTCTGATCGATCTCCTTCGGTAGGTACGTAATGAACCATCAAATAATTTAGTTGTTATCACAAACTAACCGAAACTATCTAATCATACGTAGGTATATACCTATAGGTTATTATTAACCATGATCCATCCTATGACAATTATTTCAGACAAGTTGTAGAACGTCAATGTCTAACATTAACTAAATCCATCCTCACTTGTTTCCCAAATTTTTATATCAACAAATAAATTATCATTGTTCCTTAAGAAAATATCTCGTAAACACAAAAGTCAGTCGTAATCTGCTATAGTTATACCCCGCCACTGAAAATCACTTTATTCCGAGTCCTAACGTGTTCTGCGGTATAATTGAACTTTGAATTATTGCCCCACGCCCCGCCTACTCTTTGGTCGCGGTTTCTTTAGTTTCCACCTTCCTCCCACAATAATGGGCACTCGCTCTTTATAGTCTTTATACCTTTCGTTATGCTCACTTAATGCCAACCATCGAAAAAGAAAAAAATGCAGGGATAAAATAGTTTCCTCGCTGTAATTTTAGACACTACGCGGCAGATTGGTACTACAATGTTGTCGTTTTTTAATAAATACGAAGATCAAGATCATCTATTGCATTGGCAACCAATGCGAAGAATAGCAATAGGTAGGTACATTCAGCACGAACTGAGCGCTGTGCTGTGCTTTAGAAACAGAAAACCACAACAATTTCCTCATACCCAGTGTCGGATTAGCCATATTTATAACGGAAGTAGCACGGGCCCCACGTACCTAGCGGCCCCGCTGTAATATTAGCATTATATACCTACAAGAAAAAATCTAAAGAATGCATAAACATTTCAAAAGTAAAATTTTAAAGTTAAAATTCAATAAAAAGTATCGTACCAAATTAAACCAAACAATTTTTTTTAAATAAACAAGCATAAATGAAAAACTACGTCAGCGTAAAAGGGCCACTTTTTTGACTTTTTTTTTTAAATTCCGTGTTCGAACACGGAATTTCGTATTTAAACACGGAATTCCATATTCAAACACGGAATTCCGTATTCAAACACGACATTCCGTATTCAAACACGAAATTCCGTATTCGAACTCGGAATTCCGCATTCAAACACGGAGTTCCTTGTGCAAACACGGAATTCCTTGTTCGAACACGGAATATTATTCCCACGAGTAGCTAGGGAAGGAAAGGTCGACCAACGCAGTGCCCCGCATGCGCCGGCAAGGCTAGATACAAGAGTGTATCGACAGGTTCTCTCAGGGGAGCGTTTGCTGCCGCATATGCCCCTGCGATAATTCATCCGTCGGCACGTTACCTAACACCGTAGATTGGGGGAGTTGGTTCGCGGCGGTAGCCTTCGCAAAAGATTTGAAGGGTTTTTAGGCTCTCGCACTCTACTTATGTCTACCACTAACCAAGGGAAACTTGGTTGCTCTCCTATCCACCACCAGGAGACGCGCTCAGTTGGCACTCAACCGCTGAGTTTGTAACTCCTATCAAAGTTTTGCAGTTTCGAATATTCGCTGGTTGCATGGATGTTAGGGTTTCATTAAAAGTATATTTTCATCCCGGAAATGCAGCTTATTAACGTAGATGGGATGTTTATGTGTTAGCTGGGTAACCACTTGTCAAAACCGCTCAACTATGCCACTTCGGAGTTATTTTGGGTTTTACTTTTATTTTGTCTTTTTGGCTTCGGGTGGATGCCTTCGAGGGCTGATATTGATGAAGCAGTTGTCGCAAGAACCCTAAGAGAAAATCGTAATGAAGAATGACAATTTAGTTTAAAAAAAAATCAATGTTATACAAGCGTTTAAAAAAACAACGTGTGGAATGGGATGATTTAGGCGCAGATATTAATATAGAAGACGTAAAATAAAAATAATATGTGAGCAATTAGGTACTTGTAGCACAAGAAGAAAACATGTTAAATAATTTCTTGCTTAAAAGTTCATCGGTCCACTATGGATTGACTTTGCGACAAACCAGAACACTAGCCTATAAATATGTTTAAAATTTAACAATATCCTGAAAAACGAAATATAGAAAAACAAGCAGGAATTGAGTGGATGTTATCATTTTTAAACGATATGCAAACATTTCATTACAGAAACCAGAAAACATCAGCCTGTCTCATGCCACTTCCTATAATTCTGCAAATGTTAATCTATTTTTTACCAGTTACAAAAGTGTATTAGAAAAATACAAATTTAAGCCTAAGCGCATACTAAATTTGAACGAGACTGGGATTACAAACGTTCTAACGTCTCCAAAAATTCTCACTGAGAGAGAGGCAAGAAACAAGTAGGCCAGATAGTTTTGGCTGAACATGGACAGCTTCTAACTTTTACAGAAAATATAATAGCAGCCGGACATGTATTGCCTTCAGACTTTGTGTTTCCTTGGGTTCATGCAAAAGATTACTTTGTAATGGCTGACCTATTGGAGCTATTGGTTTAGCTTATACAAGCGGATGGATGACAACAGAAATATTTATGGACGTATTGAAACATATTGTTTACAGACTTAATGACAAAACAGCGCAGTACAAAATGTCGCAGGACAAAATAGCGTTTAACGAATGAAAATCGCATTTTATTGCTTGTCCATAACCACAATTCCCATATATATCTACCAGCTTTGTTTTTAAAAAGAAAATGAGATTGTGGTACTGTTATTTCCTCCACATTGTTTCCATATGCCTCAACCATTAGATTTTGGAGTTTATGGGCCATTCAAAGCAATTCCTTTGATAATCACAGGGCTACTCATCCCGGGAAACAAATGATACATGATATTCCACAATTATTATCCAAGCAACCATTTTTGATAACCTTTATTTCAAAAAAAGATCACAAAATCATTTGAAGCTAGTGGCTTGTGGCCACTAAATGATCAAATATTCACTAAAGCAGACTTTTATGATAAGCTAATGATGGATTCAGCTATAAATAGCAACAACGAACCTGATAAAAACACCACAGACAACTACGCCACTGCGTTAGATAACAAAACGGTTGCTAATAGGCTTGATACTGCTATTCGAGATTTTATATTATATTTATTATGCATATAACCCATATTGAAGTCGAAGTAAATATTCTTCTAGTAGGCGACTCAAAGTTCGTTTTTCAAAAATAACTTTTATTTTTTTTACTGCAAAACTACTTTTTTCAACTGGAACAGAGTAAAATCTTACAATTAAAAATGAAAAGAAATATCTACCATAATGTGCATATTAAGATAAAATTAATAGATCATAGAGACAATAGCGAGTTTAACAAATTCAGCATTCTTCTATTTAGGGCTATGTATAGCAGTCGACATAGTACAATCCTTATTTGGTTTATTTTTACGGTGAACAATGAATGTCCCATCTTTGGTATTACTATAACATTTTTCTACTTGGTTAAAAAAAGTTAGGAAGATTTAAAAATAAAATACATGCATATCTATTTGTGGAATAATAGGTCAAAAATGTCAACGATTCATAATATTTCTACCAAGTTTTATTATAATGTTATCAACGTATGTTTCTAAAAATAACCCGGTTTGAAATTGGTCATAAACCGAAATAGCTGCAGATAAAAACTATTTAAGTAAGGTTAAGGAACAATAGATAATACTGTTTATTGCAGACAACACACAACAAATGCTGCGTTTGAAAAGTACATCGTTTTTATATTTTACTCGATACCGTTCTTTTAATACATCCAAGCTCCGTGATCACGTGATCAAAAAATATTATGCTCTGCTCGAGGAAGTACATTTCAAACGTAATATAAAATCAGCCATTTGGCTTAAACAAAAATTATTCATTTAAATTTTCCACTACCAGTACCGTGGTTCCCCATTTAACTTTAACAATTTCTGCAAGTAGAATTACTCAACTATTGGCAAATAATTATAAATCGGTTCATTTCGATTTATTTGAAATTTTAGATTGTGTTAAATATAAGACTAAAATGGTTACATTGTACGTGGTGGTGTAGCCGTCTCCTCTACCTAATATCCTAAACAGCGTTTTGTCGTATTTCTCATTTCTGATGAGACTATGTTCAACAGAGACATTTCTTACTGTATATAAATAATACGTAAAACTAGAACATTATTGCAGTGCTTCCAAAGCTTGTTACGACCTCTTCTTTCAAGTTTAAACGCATTAAGATGAGGATGGGCTCAGTGATTGTCTAGTGGTGCCTGACTCGTAAGTCATGAGTCCGAAGTTCTAAACCCACCAAGGCCGGAATTTGTCCTTATTAAAAATTAAGTATTTCTAATGTCTAGATAGGATTCACTTCTCAAAAAACGGCTGTTGGGCTGCTAAACCGGTAAAAGATAACCAACTCCGACACAGATCGCAGAATTCGATGTTGATGGCACTTATTTAAAAAATTAATTGGTAACTAAACAATAACATGTTACCTACTATCTATCAGCTTCTGGTGCAGTCCAATGAGAGAAGAAAATAATAATTGTGATAGTCATAATGTTAAAAACAGTATTTTAAACTTGATAGTTTATAATATATTTCCAAACAAGAGAAATGCACTTTGGTAACTGTCATGGCAACCAAAATGAAGAACAAAATGTTTTTGTATTCACTTTCTTTCATTCCAAGGCTTTCTTCAATCGTATCTAAATTGGATACGTTTGGAGTCTGTTACATAGTGGTACATTTGAATTTACCGCTGAAATGTCCCCTGTCACTAATACAGTTCCGGTGGTATGTCAAATGTCACACTTGAGCTGACTCTTCTGAGCAAGCATTGAAAACACATGTTAATTCTACATTAAACTACAATTAAAGTATAACAATATTCATTATATAAATAAACCTAAATCCCTAGTTATATAAACTACATGGTGGCAGCTTGGAGAACAAGTGGACACGTTTTACGTTGTTAAAACGTCGAAAATAATTGCTAAACAAGAAAAAAGTTGAGGTTAGAAACGGGTACACCTAAATTAAAACGATGTCGTTCAAACAACCAGAACAATTTAACCCTGGTGAATACTGCGCCCAGTCTTGGGAAAAGTGGAGACAGAGTTTTGAATTGTTCATGGATGCCGAGGATTTGAACAGCAAGCCGGTGAGACGACAACGATCAACCCTTCCTTACGTTTTGGGACCAATTGGTTTAGAATTGTATAATACTTTCGTCTTTGTAGATGAAGAAGGAGAAAAACTCGCAGGTGATGCTATATCTGTTGAAATCATACTGGACAGTTTTTCACAGCACTACAAACCATTTAAGAATGTAACATACGCCAGGTACAAATTGTTTTCAGAAAAGCAGAAGGTTGACCAAACAATTGACGAATTTGTAACAATTTTAAAGGTCCTGGCAAAAGAATGGGAACTAGGAGCATTGACTGAAGACCTAATGACTCACTGCATCATAGTGGGGGTTCTAGATGAAAAGCTTAAAAGCAGATTGCCAAATTTAGATCAGATCAAATGAAGCACGTAAAAAGCAACTAAAATGTATGCAGGAAGGTGAGAGTTCTGCGGTAGTCCACAGAGAAAGGCAACAAAAATTTGTAGAGAAAAAAAGCCTGAAAGCGAAAAAGAGAATGAAAAGAAATTTCTTAAAAGATGCTTCAGATGCTTAAAAAGTCATAAAGTGATGGATTGCCCAGCTTGGGGTAAGACTTGCTCAAAATTTAAGAAGAAAAACCACTTCTCAACAGCATGTAAATCAAGAGAAATATATAATGTACTAAAACAAGAAGATGAAATTAACAATGATAGCAGCAGTGAAGAAAGTTATTATGTGAGTGAGGTGACCAATAAGTACCCTGAATTCATAATAGGAAGCATAAAAAAATAACAAAAATGACTGGCTAGAAACAGTGAAAATTAATAATAGTAAGATTAAATTTAAAATGGACAGTGGCTCTCAAGCTAACATACTACCTTATAAAATAACAAAATAAGGAATAAGCCTAAACTCAGTAAAAGCAACAATAGTCTAGTGAGCTATACAAATCACAACATCCATGTTAAACGTGTGGTTAAACTGGCTACAGAATTCAATGATAAAAAGCTAGTATTAGAATACTTCATAACCTCTGAGAAAAGTACAGCTTTATTATCACTAAGCAGTATGGAAAGGTTTGGGTTACTTAATAAGAAAATTAATTCAGTCACTGAGTGCGAAAATATTTTAAATGAATAAAAAGACGTATTTCGAGGCCTAGGTAAACTAAACCACACATATAAAATTAGATTGCAAGATAATGCAGTACCTGAAATTTTTAGTGCAAGGAAGATAATCCCTCTAGCCCTTAAAGATAAAGTCAAAAAAGAGATCAATCGAATGGTAGAAGATGGAATCTTAAAACCTGTGGATCAGCCAACAGAATGGGTCCACCCTATCGTAATAACAGAAAAACCCAATGCCAAAATCCGCATCTGTATGGACCCTCGAAGTCTGAACAAATATATAAAGCGAGAGCACTACCAACTACCCGTTCCTGAGGGTATTTTGTCATAAATTTGCGATTCAAATATTTTTTCAGTTTTAGATGCTTCTAACGCTTTTCTTCAGATTCCTTTAGTGCTAAACTATGTACCGTTTCAACTCCATTTGGAAGGTATTCATTTCAGAGGCTTCCATAAGGTTTAAACAGTACTCCAGAGGTATGGAGAAAAGCTATTCACCAAATCCTAGAAGGCATTGAAGGAGTTCACATTTAATTAGATGATATACTAATTACATCATCCAGTATTGAAGAACATAATGAAAAGTTAAGGTTAGTTTTGGAAAAAGCAAGGAAACACGACCTAGAGTTAAACAAGAAAAAGACTCAGTTAGCAGTAAGTAAGATTACTTTCTTAGGACATGACGTTAGTCCAGAAGGCATATCAATTACTAAAGCTAAAGTAAATGCAATCAATAATATGAAACCACCAAAAATTGTAAATGAACTACAACGTTTTCTAGGCTCTATTAACTATTTAGGCAAATTTAACAATAGGCTCTCTGAGAAAACTAGTATTTTAAGACAATTGTTGGAGAAATACAATGAATTTATATGGGATTACAATCATTAAATTTTTTTTGAAAATTTATAAAATAGTGTAACAACTGCACCCATCTTGGCTTTATTTAATCCAACAAACCACTAACCTTTTCAGTAGATGCGAGTCAAAATGGCTTGGGCAGTGTATTAATCCAAGATGAAAGGCCATCAGCCATCAGCATCTCTAACACCAGCTCAAGCACGGTACAGCTAAATTGAGAAGGAATTTCTGGCGGTTGTTACAGCATGTGAGCATTTTAAATATATTTATTCCCAAAATTTCACAGTAGAGAGCACCACAAGCCACTTCTGGGTCTATAAAAGAAACCAATAAACACTTTAACACCCAGATTGCAAAACTTAACATTAAAACTTCTGAAATATAACCCGAAGATTGTATACGTACCTGGCAAATTCCTATATATTGCAGATATGTTAAGCCGTAGTCCTCTAGAAAATAATATTAATACACACTATTTAGAGAATCTGAAAATTTATTCAGTTATGACAGCTTCCTCAGAAAAGATGAAAAGTTTGGCAGATGAAACGGCCAAAGATGAAGCTCTGTCAGTTGTAAAGCAATACATAGAAAATGGATGGCCCGAACACAAAACTACTTGCTTGTCAGCAGCCAAATCATTTTGGGATTTCAAAAATGAGCTAGCTGTACAAGAAGACCTCCTTTACAAAGGTAATAGATTTATTGTACCTTTTCAGTTGAAACAATTTTTTATTAATTCAATTCACAAAATGCACCAGGGCATTAACTCGTGTATTTCTAAAACTCGTAAAGCTTATTATTGGCCTGGAATGCATTTATATATATTAAAGACCACAGAAAATTGTCCCACATGCATAAAATATTCCAAATCAAATAACCCATCAGAATTGATCCTCACAAAGTGGTATAAAATTGCAGGGAATTTTGCACACATAAATAATAAAGACTATTTTATTACTGTTATTTATCATTCTGCGTTCATAACGGTGACTGAACTAAAATCAAAAACTGCTCCCTCCGTAATATCCGTCCTGAAAAATATATTTGTCACCATGGAATTCCACAAATTTTTATGAGCGACAATGGACCTCCGTTCTCCTCAGAAGAATTTAAAACATTCCTTAACAAGCTTGAGATTACTTCCAGCCCATTGTATCCTCAGTCCAATGGACTAGTAGAAAGGATTGTTCATACGGTAAAAGGTATGCTGTGTAAATGTAAAATTACTGAGATTGAACTATTTGAAATGGTTTTGGAACATAATACAACTCCTAAACAAGGAAAATTCTCACCATAAGAAAATCTCATGGGTAGACAGTTAAATACTACTCTGCCAATACCCGAAGAAACCTTAATACCTAAATTTGACACTGAACCGAATTTAGAACGCTTATATAAGAAACAAGATAATATGATTCAAAAATCAAAGAAACAAGACAAAATGGCACCTAAGCTGCATCCTGGCCAAAAAATAGTGATACAACAGGTGTTTCTGACTATAATTTGTTCTTGGTTTCCCGGACTAATGGTCTAGTGTATTTTATTAACTCTGTCGACCTGATTGTGACGACGCCGAAGACAGTGCATCTGTTGTTCTCCGTTTTTGTATCGCGGCGAGTTGTGAGACAATATATCCATTATTCTGATGTCACCTGATCGAAAACTGTTTTAAACTTTTAAAAAAAAATGCAACAGATTTACGTGGAACAAAAACGAGACAAGCTTTCGTGGTAGACAAGAAAACATCAAATGTAATGCGTTAAAAAGAGCTATCATGCAACAAATTTTCAAGTGACAATTATTGTTTAAAATAAAACTTATAAAACTACATACAGTCCATTCTCATTAATCCAAAACAACAAGGCATGCGTCAATGGACTCCAGGCAAGGTAATCTCAACAGCCACTGAACCAGATTCTTATCATGTTGAAACTGATTCTGGAGCTGTTTATCAAAGAAACAAAGTCCACTTGAAACCAGTACCTAACTTACTGGAAATGAGACCCAGGAGAAAATGCAGATGTCAAATACAACTACAAACACAAAATCAGAAGCCAATTTGAGACCATCTAGAGAAACGACGATACCAAACTACCTGAAGGACTACATACGTTAAGTTATAAAGTTGTTCGAAAAATTTGTAAGCAAAAGAGGGGCATGTTACATAGTGGGACATTTGATTATACCGCTGAAATGTCCCTTGTCACTAATACAGTTCCGGCGGTATGTCAAATGTCACACTTGAGCTGACTCTTCTGCGCAAGCGATGAAAACACATAGTAATTCAACATTAAACTACAATTAAAGTATAACAATATTCATTATATAAATAAAACTAAATCCCTAGTTATAAAAACGTTACAGAGTCAACAAACTTAAAAAAGTTGAAGAATATCATCCAGACTTGATGTTTGGACTTATAAGTTGTTGTTATTATGGCCAATTTGCTTTATCGAGCGATACCATTCTGAAACAATAATAATAATATTTATTTCAAATTATAACAGATTTAATTTCCATGTCTAACATCGTTAGGTACCTTCTTGATCAATTCTAAGTACCTACTTCTTACTTATTTTTCGTTTACACCATTTAATCACTTTAAGATTATAACAAAATTACTAAATATAACTTTCAATAACTAAATAACGACATTATCTACATACCTACCTAACCTACTTATTTGAATAACTAACTTTTCTCATAGGAACACAATTTTCTTAGTAAGATATAACTATGTTTCTTCATCTCATCCATCCAAAGTCAAGTTTAGGTACCTACTTCTTATGCAATATATAATAACAGTTTTCTAGATACAAAAACCAGTAATATATAAATATTAAATAGGTAATAAATATATTATTACCTGGAGCCATAAACATAACGATAAAAACAACCCGATTTAAAAAACAATGGATATTTCAAACTAATAATCTTTATACACTAAATAAGCAATAAAATGCATACAAGTTCATATTATTTTCTAATGCATTAAGTTCAATACTTACCTTTCCTTAACACAGAAATTAAATGAACAATGACAAACGACAAACGGACAAACAAGTACATACATAATAATCACACCATGTGACCAGTTTTTGTAAACAGTCGGCGTGAAAAAAGTATAGTCAGCAATTGTACTGCAGGCGCCATCTATACTGCAGTAGCTTACGTTCTAAAAGAACTTCGTCGAATGAGATCATTAACTGTATTACAATATCTCTTCGGTTATGTTATTCAAGTAGAGATGACTCTTATTGACTCAGTTAGGTAAAGTACTTTTTTGCTGTGTTGTCAATTTTTAAAATTAATCATTAGAAATTATCCTTTTTCAAATATAAAAATTCAGTGAAAATTCAAAACAAGAAGATAAAATTTCGAGCATATAATAAAAAAATAATTGGAATTACACTTTAATTTTTTATTTTTTAAAGTTTCACTCAAAAAATATACAAATTTAAGTAATATTTGATTGAAAATGCTATTTTCAATTTTTGGAAAGTCCTTTAATTACTGTTGGTTGATGATGGCCTTATGAAGTTTATGTAACTGTATTGGGTAAAAGCATAGTAGAAGTCAAAAAGCATTTAACTGCCGCAGACCCAACCTTTACAGTCCAGGAGGGCTTCTTCCCGCATTCATAGATGGATACACCAAAGATCGCTTGCTACATAATCAACGAGTGGACATGTACTATGCGGCCAGTTTCGGATTGCTGGTATTCACTATTCAGTATTCATTTTAATTCCCAGTTAGAATATTTTATGAATACACTTTTTGTAGAAGACATTTTTTCGCTATTATTATCTTATAGTTGAATTAAATAAAATGTCTACAAAATTGTATACTGCAATGCCTTTTGTTTTAGTATAGTATTTCTAGTTTAAACGGTCAAAGAGGCACTATCGAATCGCCTGTCTGGTCGTGGGCCTGGCATATGGCCTTTAGTCAGCAGTCAGTATTAATATGGTAAAAGACATGCAATTTCCCGTTAACTTCTCAAAAGACTTCAAAGAGAAAAATGCAGACCTATCAACTGGATTTGATGGCTAAGTGACTTCGATCCGACTGTCGGCCGTAGTGACCTATATATGCTGGCCTTTTAATTATGAAAGTTAATTGGCCATCATTAGAATTGGAGAGTAACAGTTATTGGGCCTTTAATTTCCCTACACATAATGTTGGGTGGAATCATAAGAAAGGAAGCCAACATTTGATGTGCAGACCGATACAGCGACAATTGAAAGGCAAAATAAGGGATTGAGTTAATTCACATTTTGTAACGAAGTATGCGTTTTCTTAATAAGTTGGATAACCGGGGAAAGGAGGGTGAACTTTGGTTCGACAAGACCAATTATGAGTCCAGAGCCTTTCTACAGTTCTATTGCGAAAACCATCATAAGATAAGTCATCCAAAATTGTAAATAAAAGTACACTATTGGTGGTAGAGGAATGCCTTAGGACAGTTCCAATGCAAATGCCCTAAATTTCCAAAATTCATAATAGGTAAAGACAGTCAAATCCTTACTTAATAAGATATTACAGACTGAGTGAACATATAGGTAAAAATTATCTTGTTTTTATGAGATGAATTTAAATTATTTTACAAAAACATTTGGTTGATGCAATTTTTGAATATTTTTATTGTCCATAAAGCATTGAACACTTGGATATCTACTGGCGTAGTTTATATATAATTATTAAAGGATATTTAGTCTACCTTCACCATATTTGTTTGTCTATTTTTACATATACAGTCTAAGTAAATTCATAATTATATAAGCTTTGGAGAATCTTGGAAACATTTAAACGAACACTGACCAGTTTTTCACTACCATACCATTGAAATTCTTAAAAAGAGTATGATTTCCTGACCGTAGTAGAATTTTTCATGAGCAAATAAAGCATCTTTAGTATTATCGGTCAATTATATTTTAATTAGCTCAGCACTGTTTCGGAATTAAATTCCATCTTCAGGTGCAGTCACAATTTCTTAAATTTTAAAAACAGGGCCATTTGCACCGCTAGTAGTTAAGAAATAAGCGAAGCTTAAAATGACATGTCAATGGAGAAATGTCATTTTAAGCTTAGCTTATTTCTTAACGACTAGTGGTGCAAATGGACCTTGTGATATAACAAACACTTTAAAAGTTTTATGGATGAAATCCATCTTTTTGTGTCTCATAGTGTGTAGTAATATTTGGATTAACAAAATTATTAGGATATCCAAGAAAATTTTAAAATATTTGTTAGGTATGTCCCTAACTTTTTTTTATTTTAAAAAATTGTGACTGCACCAAAAGATGGAATTTAATTCGGAAATATATGTAGTGCTGAACTAATTAAAATATAATCGACGTTTGATTTGTTTATATAAAAATTTTATGTTTGGGGAAATTTGTAAAAATAATAGGCAACACAGCACCGTCTGAAAGTTTCACCTGCCCAGGTGGCTGACACAGGTGAATTGAAATCTAATCAGTTCCACGGTTCCTCTCTTACCGTTATATTAACAGATTTTTATTGTATTTGTGCACCGAATATTGACACAATTTATTGTTCCAGTGATTTAATATAAAGGACCAAGCCAATAATGCTGTCGCAATTTTTTTGTTAATTTTTAGAAGTTCGCAAGCGGAGGATTTTTATTTAATACAAACATAATGTCAACAAATAGATTTCACAAGTATGTATTCCTTTTAAAGTTATTAGAAATTAGTAAAAGTTCTTATATTGTTTGAAAATAGCTATCTAATTTACATATTTAAGTACATTGCTCTATAGGTATTAAATCAAACAAATTTCATCCCTGCAAAATGAAAGAAAACAATACATTGCTACCTAAAATTATGTTTACAAAATAATTTATTATTTAGCTATCTCCGTACACAGTGCCTAACTAAAAAGGAGGTAAAGAATTGCACCACCCTTTGAAACTCTAAAGAGCTTTCTAGAAAATTGAACAAACAGTTTTGTAATTCAACTTTTTCCGCCAAAACAAAAATTTAAAATCTTGTTTCTGGAAATACATGCATGGATAAATAAATTTAGTATGACCGACGAAAAGTGTAAAACGAACAAAATGCAAGAAATATGATATTAAAAAGTGACAATGAAAAAACTGTCTACAATTTAATAATTAACTACTCAATTGGTAAAGAATACAATTTTAATATATTAGATGAATTTCCTGATCCTGGGAAGTACGAATAAAAAGAGCGTTAATTATAGTATGAGAGCCCACTGCAAATTTCGACCGTCATCTGATAACGAAATGAAATAATATGCTCCAAAAGCATGTAACAACATTGTACTTTACCAAATTGCACCTGTGCCAATCCCTATCCTGAGCAAAGTGGTTAAAAAAAATTATTTTATATTCAAAAAAATCACATAAGACATGACAGCGACAATTGTGTTTTCCCTGAAAATTACAATCCTAATTCATTGTGAACCTAGCTTTTAAACCTGAATTATTAATATTTTACCTACCTTTTAATAAAAGGAAGAAGGATGACATTGTATAAACCATTTGCAGAGATAGTCAATAATAATTATAAACTCTTGTTTGACAATTATTTTAAACCATAATGATAGTAGTTTTTTTGTCGTTTCTGTGGCAACCTTTAAAAATGAATCACAACAATGCGCTGGTTCAGTGTGATGTCATTTTGGTTCCACTGACATTTAATTCTAACCAAACTTTTAACAAAAACATCAATAAATTTGACATATACGTTCCCAGGCAGCACACTTTGGTATAAATTACGTATTTTTTTAGGTAACTACCATACGTATGAATACGATTGATGTACTACCAAATATATTCGTGAAAATGTCCGCCTTATAAACGTCGATTACTAAGAATTTATCCACCTAGAATTAAACGTTTTTACTATACGTCTATATTAGATTTATAGTTGTAGTATATTTATACGAATTCACTTTGGTATAAAATACGTTTTTTTTATGTACTACAATATACGTATGAATACTGTTGATATGCTACCCAATATATACGTGAAAATGTCCGCCCTATAAACGTATATTTTTTTTAATTTTTTATACGTCTAACATTACTACTTTATCTACCTTTAATTATCCTGTTTTACTATACGTCTATATTAGATATATTTGTATGATTTTTATTAATGTGTAAAATGCGTCTACCTGATATTGTTTTAAATGTATTTCAAACACAAATTAAATAAAGTGATCAAAACAAAATTTCTAAAAGAGGCCATGGAAAAATGTTAATATTTCTTAAATGATAGTTTGGATTTTATCCATAGCAGGTGTGTATACACCAGAAATAGGCATTACTCGTGTTTCTATTTTGGTTGTAATTGGCCTAAATATTTAGAAAAAATTTTTGATCACTTGTTGTATGTACAGAACAATATTTAATTAAAAAAAAATAAACAATAAAATACTAAAAAATAAATTAATACAAAAAAATAAGCACTAAAATAGTGAATAACAAACTAAACGAAACTTTTCTTTAACTAACAAAAAATATTTCTGAAAATAAAAATCTTTGGATGTGTTGTATCCTAGACGGGCCTTAGCTAACTTAAGGTAGTCTTGCATGGCACACCTAATCGTTCGGTAGGATAAGTCGCTTGGTTCACCCCCATTCCTATAATCAAAATGTAACTCAATTTCAGGTGAAATATTTTCTAAAAGCTCCGAAGTTAAATTTGTATTATTTTCTTGGAAATTATTATAAATAATAGAATCAGATGATGTATTAATGTCCGAAGCCTTATTAATGTTATCTTCATTGGGAATAAAAAAAAATTGATTTGACTTTAAAGCATCTTGAACATTTTGGGCTATTTTTCTTCGTAGATGACGCAGAGACAAGGTTATTTTAGACATTTTATTAAATAAAAAACAACTGACCAAAAAAAAAAGGAAAATAAGTATGCTTGGAATAACTAGGTAACCTAAAAAATACGTATAAAAATAAAAGAAACAAAAGTAAGGTTATGTTTTGAAGTTTCTATACGCATTTAACACACTGTACGTACACCTTAAAACAGTACTTGTTGTAAAATGCAACAATTATTAAAGGAGTAGCTAAATTAAAACATTAATAGAAACTTACCTATGCTTTTAATCAATATCGTAAAAGCCAGGACCTGCTCCCACAAACCATTCCCTACACTGAACAATAACACAGCTCTACAAAAAAAAAATTTTTTTTGTTGCCCTTGATATCATCGCGAATTTTTATGTTTTCAAGTGTCAAGATTTCGAATATATTCATGAAAGTTCTCAATGTGCTCGTATTTTTATGATTTTTGCATGTCTTATGTGTTAAACAATTATCGGCTTCTTAGAAATAAAATTAAGTTCTTCAGTCATGATTAAGGCTTCTGCGCAACTTTTTAGCGCATACAAACATCACGTGATCCCACCTCTCAGACGCCTTGCTCCACAGAACAGCTGAAATCTCAGTTATATGACAATATTGAAGTACTTACACGTGAATCTGGTTAAGTTGTCATGGATTAATATTTTGTTTCAATTACTGTATGTCCATTCTGATATATTCGTCTTGTCTTCTAAAATATGAGTTCGTCACGGAGAAAGTGTAAATATTGTAGTGATTTATTTTGTTATATTTGCGGTGTTTATATATCAAAAAAACAGAAACGAAATATCACAGACTTTGTCAAGGAGAGTTATGTTGAATATTTCGGTTTTGGAATGGACAAATTAGGTAAACCATGGGTTCCTAATAAAGTTTGTAAATGCTGTGTTGAGTCTTTACGGTTGTGGAAAAAAGGAGAACGTTCTGGATTAGACTTTGGTATTCCTATGATCTGGATGGAGCCTACGAATCATTTTGATGATTGTTACTTTTGTGTAGTAGATGTTAAAGGTTTCAATCAAAATCAAAAGTGGAAATACCCAGACTTACAGTCTACGAAATGTCCGGTTCCACACAGTGAAAATCTCCCTCGGCCTATTTACGTTTCAAAAGTAATTCGCATGCCCTCAGAAACAATGATGTTGCCAAATTCACAGAAATCGGGACCGTCTAGCAGTGGAAGTGAATGGGAGGGTGAAACATCTACGCCAAAGTTATTTTCTCAAAATGAACTTAATGATTTAATACGTGATCTCAATTTATCAAAACAAGGATCAGAACTGTTAGCTTCAAGATTGAAAGAAAAAAATCTATTAGCACCAACCGTAACAATTACAATATACAGAACGCGAGAAAAAGAGTTATTCCAGTTTTTTAGTGACGATCAGGGATTGGTGTATTGTAATGATATCGCGAATCTGCTTTTAGACATGGGTTTAAAGGAATACAAATCGACTGAATGGCGCCTTTTCATTGACAGTTGCAAAAGAAGTTTAAAATGTGTCTTATTGCACAATGGAAATAAGTTTGCATCAATTCCAATTGCCCATTCAACGAAACTTAAAGAAAAATATGAAAATGTAAAATTAGTTTTAGAGAAAATTAAATATTCGGAGCATGAATGGCCGATCTATGTGGATTTAAAAATGGTTAATTTTTTACCAGGCCAACAAAGTGGATACACAAAATACCCTTGCTTTATTTGTATGTGGGACAGTAGAGCGAAGCAACTTCACTGGGAACAAGATGTTTGGCCTGTAAGAAATTCTTTAACTGTCGGTAAAGCCAATGTAATAAGGGAGCCACTGGTGGGCAGAGACAAAATCATACTTCCACCATTGCATATTAAGTTAGGTATGATAAAGCAGTTTGTAAAAGCTCTAAACAAGGATGGAGATTGTTTTAATTATATTTGCAGAAAATTTCCGAAGCTTAGTATGGAAAAATTGAAAGGTGGAATATTTGATGGTCCTCAAATACGGCAATTAATAAAAGACTCAGATTTTATCAAAGTTATGACTGTTCCGGAAAGTAAAGCTTGGAAAAGTTACGTGTTGGTAGTCGAAAATTTCTTAGGTAACCATAAAGCAACAAATTATGAAGAAATTGTGCAAGATATGCTGACAAACTTTCAAAATTTAGGAGCAAATATGAGTGTTAAGTTACACTATCTTCGCAATCATCTGGATAAATTTCCAGATAATTTAGGGAATTATAGTGAGGAACAGGGAGAGCAGTTTCACCAAGATCTAAAAGTGATGGAGGAAAGGTATCAGGGTCGATGGGATTGTCACATGATGGCAGATTACTGCTGGTCTTTGAAAAGAGATTGTCCACTGAAAAATTATAAGAGAAAAGTTCATGAAAGGCGTTTTATGGAAATATAAAACATATTTCCGATATTTTCCTCTTTATTTACTTCGATGTATCCTAATTTCTCACAACAGAACTAACATTATAAATATATCTGTTAATTTGTATTTTGTTTTTCTATTTTTGTAATATAAAATGAAAATAAAGATTTAAAAAAAAATGAGAGCAAATCTTACAAAATCATTGATAGTTTCATGAATTGTGTGCATAAATAGACCCAAAATCATTTTCATATCTAGGGCAACAAAACCACTGTAGACCAGTGTAATACTTTACATACGCATGAGTAGAAATGAGAAAAGACCGTACCACTAGTCATGCTCCATCCGCCATCTAAAAATTTAAATAAAACTAAATATATACATATTATTTACTTCTGTCTACTAGTTCACCGTAAACTGGTATTATGCGTTTAAGGTGACTAATATTTAAAC